CCCGGGGCGCTCGGCGGCGGCCGCTTCGCCGTGGAGCTGGGCCGCCACTGCGAGGCCGCGAGGGAGAGGGAAAGGTACTCCTTACCGTTACGGTCAAGTCGGGCATGTCCTTCTGCAGGAGGAATCTTCAAACATAGTCACAAGAAGAGTCTGGGGACGATGTTTTGATTATCCGTGGACTATTTTCGGGTATTCTGTTTTTCTTCCGAAATCTGCCTATAGGAGGACATGCCCGACCTAACGCTACGGTAGGTTCACGCGGCGGTGGCGCGCGTTAAGCTCCGCGCGATCGAGCGACGCGGAAGCACCGAGGGACACGGTGACGCCACCAGACTCGACGTGATTGAACCTTGAACGATCGGGGCCGCGATCGGATCAAGGTTGAACGATCGACGCGGTGGCAAAACCTCTGCGCGCGCCGACGCCGCACGAATCTACCATACTCTTCTATCGCTCCCTTTTTGGGCCTCCTGGGAGGCCCTCGTCGCCACCGCTGGATTCGCCTCGAAGTTCTGGTCAGGACGCACCCTGGCAGAAGTCTAGGGCGAGTAGCGGTGTCGGTACCGTTTGGTTTCCCCAAGGCCGTGGGGGAATGGCTGGAGGACCGGCCGGCTCTGGTTGCGACGAAATCGCGACGGGCAGGTTTGGGCCTTTTTCGACTTCGGGGGCCCTCACTGGGCCCGCTCGAAGGGAAGCTTCTCCAAGGGGTTCGACAACTCGCACCGGTGCCGATCGCCCCTTCCTCGCCTTGCACAGGGCCCCAGTGGCGACTTGCTTCGACAAGCTATCCGAGCTGCTTTTCGCACTGGATCCTTCTGCATCCCCCCTTCCCTCCTCGATTTGTGCGCCTGGGGTCGGACCTGCCCCTCTAGGGTTAAGTGGGGCCTGTCCCTCTACAGGAGGAATCTTTAAACATAGCCAAGCAATAGTCAGGTGACTTTATTTTTTTTGTTGCGTGTGTGTGTGTTTTAATAGTATGTTTGGGTATTTGTTTGCATGTGTTTGTTGTAATTGTTCGTCCAAAACCCCGTTGTAGGAGGACAGGCCCGACTTGAATTTAGTGTAGGAGGTGAGCTTCAACACCTGGCCTCCGTGTGTCTGCTTGTGAGTGTGCTCCTGAGCCCCACTCAGCCAGGGCGGGCTGGCCCAGGGGGGGGTAGGTGTCGACTCCCAAGGCGCGCCGCTCTTGGCCGCTCGTGGCCAGGGTGCCTTCTCGCCCCACCGGGGACGTGCTGCTTCGCCGTCGGGGGCCTGTCGCCGATCCATCGGCGACGTACCGCCGATGCCAAGGTTTAAGTCGGGCCCGTCCCTGTACAGGAGGCATGTTCAAAAACAGCGGAACAAATGGTCAGGGGACGATTTTTTCACCACATTTGAGATTTTTTGGGGTATTTTTTGAATAGTTGTTGTTTTTCTAACAAAATCCGCCTGTAGGGGGACATGTCCAGGGTCGGAGGGTCGCGCTGTATCGCCGATGCATCGGCGATGCGGCTCGATGCGGAGCCCCGTGTTTCCCCACGCCGACGTCGCCGATGCATCGCCGACGTCGCCAGTGCATCGCCGATGCATCGCCGATGCATCGGCGATGCATCGGCGGTGCGGCGCGATCCTCCGACCCCATCTACTCGGACCCCATCTAGGAGGCCTCTGCTATCGGCGATGTGTCGCCGATTCCAAGGCAGTGCTCCCTCCTAGCGTCAGGAACTTTAGGCTCAGCTGTTTACTGTTTGGTTCAAGGCCTGCCACGGTGTGTGTTCAATGCTCTCTCCACAGTATGCCATGTACTCGTATGACATAGTATGCCCCACCTGTGTGTAGCAGGCATGCCTTAGTATATTATGACTCAATGTCCTTACTGGCTTCTGGACCCATCAAGGTTACAAACTCCTCGAGTCCTTTCTCTTGCCCCTCTTCCTGGTAGAATGCGGGTCTCCGACGTGTTTGTGACCTCGTCAGGTACGAAGAAGGTTCCTATGATATCTCTTTACGCCATGTGCTCTTGATAAGCCACAAACAAGCCAGTACATACGGTCGGGAACTTTGGCTTGGCGTGTCACTCCACCGGTTTGGGCCCACAACACTTCAGCGCGACACGCTACCTATTCCCCGGTCCTGAAGCGTCAACGTCCCGAGCTTTTCTTGGCCTCCCGCCCTGCGGAGCGGAGCGACACGCCATCCACTGGCAAGGCATGCCGTCTCGACGTGGCCGCCGCCGCGACACGAGAAGTACAAGTTCCTGACCGTATCGTTTCCCCTCACGAAAGTTTGGCTCATTTCGATTCGTTCCATCCACTTCGAATGTCGAGTTCACCCAGTTCGATCCGGCTCGGTTTCGATTCTCCGATGATCGGATGCGGCCCGATTCTCGCATGGCGCTGATGTGCACCCTGGCAAGGCCAGTCCGATCCGTTTTCGACTCCTTGCCGACGCGGTCTGATCCGGCGCACGTTCCGACCCGATTCGGTTTTCCGATTCGATGTTGACCGATCCTGAACAGGGCCAGGCCTCCAACGTATTGGGAACATCGAAGGTTGAGGTTCGAGGCTTGCGGTTTTTGGGTGCGTCCTTGTATTTTCCACCGAGCCTCTGGAAGCCATCTGGGGGACGTCAGGGGACATGCGGAAACCTTGACGGACTTCTGGTGGATCCAGACCTCAAACGTTCTGTTGAAACATTCAGCACGTGTTTTACACCCGACGGGTTGGACTTGGTAGGCTTGCAGCCCCCGAGCCGCCCGCCAGTCCTGCACGCCGCGACCCCACGTGGAAGGGTAAAGGGGAGGGTGATATAAGAAGGACCACTTCGGGCTCGGGAGGGGCCTTGTTTTTCGGGCCGTCCCTTAGATCTAGGTCTGGGATGTGATTCGAATGCAATGTTCGCCGTTTCCAGAAAAGCACCTTCGTTGCTTGGTCAGTGTTCCTGTGGTAGCATGATGACTGTTGCCAATTATATCACATGCGTTCTCGCCCCCAGAAAGCGGGAGTCGGTGGATTTGCTGTTGCGTCATTCTGCCTTGCACTGCAGCGCTTTGCTCGTCTTCGCAGCTTGCAGCGGTGCATCAGAACTGGTTAGCATTGCAACGAATGTCTGTGCTTTGCATGTTTATCTTGCTGTGCAGTGCATTTACATTGCACGGAGTTTTCTGGCAAATGCATTTGCAACGCGCTGCAACGCAAAGCAACAACTTTGCATGTCGATGCAAAAGAAATTACTTCAATCCAATCTCAAACGACACGCCAGGCACATCATCTCAACAATCCTACAAGCACATGCAATACGTGCGGAGCCACATTCATTATGTTTGTTGTTCGCACTGCATGGACACAGACGCGACCGATTATATTGCCAGTGAGTGTTGTGGTCTACGTGTCTCGTTGCCCTGCGATTGCTAACATGAACCTTCGATGCTGTGCTTTCTGCGACTTGCATTCCCCACCCCGTCCCTCTCTCTGCGTGGTCGTCGTCTTTGTCGTCGTCCTTATCTTCCTCCTCCACCTCCAGTATCACGCTTTCATACATGTGCGTCGACGCCACTCACCGATTTAGGTTTTGCCGACGACGTGCTCTTTCCCGCACCGAACTTACGACAATTGGAAGTCATTTTCCGCGACTGCAGCAGAAGCATCTAAGTGCAGCCTTGCGCTGCATCCAGAACACCAAACATCTCACCGACGTCAGCAGGCGACAGGGACAAGCCACTATGCACCGACGTAGGCAGCGACGGCATTGAAATTCCCAGCGCTGACCAGACCGCCAGGTATCGTGGCCCCGAGGTCGCCTTCCATGACTTTCACACCAGGGGCAGAGCTCTCCAGCAGACTTCGTTCCGGACGGCGCCGTTTCAACCAGCTTCGCGACGAACTCACAGGCAGACGGTGGCCCCTCCACAGCATACTCTGGCCATTCGGCGGAGAAGTGCCACCAGCAGTGACGCACGGCTGCAACCCTTGGGCGCCCACCAAGGACGTGCTCCAAGAATTACGACGCACCCTACGATGGACGGTACGACTCATCGTGCACACTCCGACGTATCGAACGGGACACAGCAGCACCGCTACCAGCAACGCCCGCATCGCCGACGACGAGAACCCCCTTGAGGATGGAAGTAAAGCCGACATCTGCTCGGATGATTGCGACGGGCAAGCGGATTTTGACGACGGTGGCGACAGCACCGACATAGAACCATGGGAAGAGTTCATACGCAGAGCTACGCACATGGCGACAGACACTGCAACACGGGCCAACGTGGATGAGTGGGTTACGGTATAGTTCCGACGGAAGTGGCGGTGAGCAGGGTGGTTGGCCGCAGTACCCTACGACAGATGGGGACGGCTCGCTACGTCATGGGAGCCCGTTGCCAGACGTCCACGATTGCCGGCAAGCATGACGCATTCACGGAGCCCAGTGGAAGCAGTGGGCAGATGATATCGTGCGCGTTGTTGATATAGCGACGTCCCTGGAACGTTACAACCAACGATGGCTCACACTAGCACAAGACAGTACGAGTTGGAGCAGCTTAGACACACCATAATTTCTACAGCACGCCCAAGACACGGCACCCATGGTCCAGAACTTCCACCAGTACGAATGGGGGCTCCGGCCCGCCCGCCCGCGAAGGCCTCCCAGACCCCCACGCCCCAACGGACACTGGCGCGTTCTGTTCTGCTGCTGTGCTCTTGCACGTCGTATCAATACAAATCAGGTCAACACGAAGCCAGACTTCGCCGTAGCCAGCGGCAGCGTGTTTCTTTTGTTAGCTTCTTTTTGCATGGTTCAAAGCGCCATCAGTTTGTTAGCATTATGTTGTGCTTGTCTTCAGCTTGCTGCCAATTTGCCTCCATAAGCAACCTGTATTCTTGTTGGGGCCGCGCTGGGTTCCTCAAGCAATGCATGGCCTCCCATGAAGTATTGCCAACACGCAGCTACACCTCGGGCCGTCGTGCAAAGCAGAACGCGGCCGATCAGTTGTTGTACTTGACTGCAGGAGGTGCTGCCCGATCCTACCAGCAGGCGCAACGTCTCGCGGCGCGCCTGCGAGGTCTCGTGGTGCGCCGTGCCCCCCGCCGCTGGCGTAGCCGCAGAGGGCGCCGCTGTGTGGCTGACCGCCGTGGGAGCGGGCCTCCTGGCGGTTGACGGTACGGTGGTGCATCGGGGCGCCAGCGCCGAGCTCCGTCAGGGCTCCCAGCTGCAGTTCCTCTTCCAGCGGCCCAACGGGGAGCTGGGCGTGACGGTGGCGGTGGCTCTCTCGTGGCGCTGGCGGCGCTCCGCCGAGCGGCCGCCTCCCCCTGAAGCCTCCGGCGACTCCCGCGGGTCTTCCACATCCCAGCCGCCGCCGCCGCCTGTTGCAGGGGCCGCAGGCTGTGGGCTGGGGCCGGCGCGCCCGAAAGAGGGGCCCCCCACGACGGGGGACGTGCAGGCACGCCCCCCCCCCTTTCCAAGGGGTTCCGTTCCCCTCCTGGGCCCGTCTGGCGTCGAGGGCCCACTCGGCCGCCTCGCGGGCTCGAGGTCTAGCTCCTTCGACGGCCCAGCGGCTGCCCGTTCGGCGACCGAGCGGGCTGGGAAGGGAACCCGAGGTCACCCGAGGAGGCGCGAAGGTACTCGCGTTTCGCGCGTCGCGGCCTGGGCCGAGCAGCTGCCCTTCTCCAACGCGGCCGCGCGGGGGCGCGAGGGCGTGAAGAAATCCCCGCGCGTCGCGCACCGTGGAGAGCGGTGCGGAAAGTTGGGTGACTCAGGAATAGGGACAATACAACCCACCCCCAACCTCTGGCCAGGACCCCCACCCCCGACCTGGTGATACTTACTGGGGGTCCTGGCCGGGGTTGGGGGGTGGTTTCTTCCCCCAGCCAGGACCCCCAGCCAGGACCCCCAGTAAGTATCACCAGGTCGGGGGTGGGGGTCCTGGCCAGGGGTGGGTTGTGCTGCCCTCCTATGAGCTCTGGTGGTCCCTTCCGGTTTCCGCCCCCCCCCGGCCCCTCGACGTGCCCTCAGCAAGGCGGGGCCGCCCAGGGCTCGTCCCGCTGGGGCGCCTGGCCGAGCGCGGCCCCAGGCGCGCGCGAGCCGCCCGCGCGCCTCTCGACCCCGCGCGCGGGCACGGCGGACGCCGACGGCCCTCTGGACGAAGGGACGCCGCGGCAGCCCACGCCGCGCCTCGGCCCGGCGCTGGGGGAGCCAGAAGCGCCGGCCCAGGCGCGGCGCGCACGCTTCCTGGACGCGTCGCCCGCCGCGTGGGCGCCACAGGCGCCCTGGCAGGCCTCGGGCTCCTCTTCCTCCTCCTCCTGCTCCTCCTCCTCCTCCTGCTCCTCCTCCTGCTCCTCCTCCTCCTCCTCCTCCTCCTCCTCCTCCTCCTGCTGTCCTCCCTCCTCCTCCTTCTTCCTCTCCTCCTCCTCCTTCTCCTCCTCCTCCTCCTCCTTCTCTCCCCTCCTCCTCCTCCTCCTCCTCCTCCTCCTCCTCCTCCTCCTCCTCCTCCTCCTCCCTCCCCCTCCGTAGCCATTTTGGCTCAAGATGTTTTCGCCCCGTGGCAGAGCACGGAGACCCTTGGTCCAGGGACAGCTAAGGACTTGCTTTCATATCCTCGCCTTCCTGCTGCCCAGCAGGTCGAGCTTCATATCTGGTGCTGCATTCGCCTGCAGTCTCCTCCACGCGCACATCGGTGGAGTGCCACCAGAGGCTGGCGCGGGCCTCATTTCGCGGACGTCGACAGCATGGGTCCTCCCGTCGACTGCTTGGCCAGCGCTGCATCGACCCCCCGAGACGGAGCCACTGACCCAGTCAAGCGCCAACAAGACCCATGGCATGACAGCGCAGCCAAACTCGCAGTTCACGACCTCCCAGCACATGTTCGAAAGCAGCTTGAGGAGACCATGGCCGCCCAGATCAAAGACGCCACCGAAAAGTTCGAGGCCACAGCCAAGGCAGTCACAGCAAAGGCCAGCTCAGAGTTCCTCGCCTCACTCACGCAGATCACGTCCGACCTCAGCAGACGTCATGAAGCAACAGAACGAGACATCACCGCAGTCAAGCTCCGCACCAATGCCCTGGAAGAGCAGAACTCCGAACTCAAGGCCGCCGTTGCCAAGCTCGAATCCATTATCACAGCAGCAGAAGCACGCGCTCCCGCCCTCAACCTGGACGGCCTGGGCAGCTGGCACCGCGACCCCGACATCACCACCTTCTGGTGCAGCAGTCCGCAGGAGTTCAGTCAGCAACATCTGGAACAAACTCTCACCCCATGGTTCCAGGCCGCCAACATCAAGAAGGACATGGTTATATTCAACACGGTCGGCCCCTCCAAGCGCCACTCGTTTCAGGTCAGCGGGGGCACAGTGGTTGCGGAACCTCGGGCACAACGTCTTCATAATGCCCTGCGTAATGGAAAGGATTGGCGTACATTCGCTGTCGATTTTGGTAATGACAAATACGTTCCTCTATATGTATCTGCCGACAAGAGCCCGCAGGCCGTCCGCACGGAGGTCCAGATCAAGCGCCTCGCCAAGATCATGCAGAACTTCAAGCCAGACCTCGATGCGCGCTCACACAGAACCCTGGGCTACATATCGTGCCGCGGTGAAGCCTTGGTTCGCCTTATTGTTGGCAGCAATGCTGATGTTCCTACTAAGCTCCAGTGGTCACAGGCCGCCAACAGACATGGAATTTCCGAAGATGACCAGAAGCAGATCGCCGCCGAGTTCATCAGCAACTTCGCAGACCCCCTTTCTGCCGCACAGTGGCTTTAGCCTTCGGTGGAGCCCATGGCTCCTGAAGCCCTCGCAGGAGGGCCTGAACATCGCATTCTGGAACTCGCAAGCGCTTCTCGGCCAGTCCGCTCTACGTCGCGCCGACAAACGACAGCAACTTCTACCATGCTTTCGCCAACGAGCTCTTATCGCAGTGCAAGGGACTCATGGGACTCTGGATGACCTAAAGCTGCTGGCGAACTCTACCCAGCATCGGTACAAAGCTTTCCACTCGCCCGTGATGGTCAACGGCGCGCCCGTGACTAACGCTGGCGGCATTGGCTTCCTCGTCCCCTACGACAAGGCAGAGCTTCAACTTCCTCCAGACGAACGGCCTCAGCTCAGGTTTGAGGTAGTCATCCCTGGCCGTGCCGCGTGGCTTCGGAACACGGATGCCAGCCTCCAGCACGAAGTCACCGTCCTCAACATCCTCAACTTCGGCTTGACCCCAGCAGATCGGTTTCTCTTACGTGACCATTGGCACGCTGTTCGCCATCATGCTGACGAAGTCCCTCAGCAGCGGCTTCTTGTCATCGTCGGCGACTTCAACGTCTCCGAGTTCCCGCCACGTTCGATCAACACGCCTGTCGACTCTGACACCACAGCTTCACAGCGTTATCAGTACCAACCAGTCCTCTGGCGCAACCTGTTCCGCGACGTCATCGAGATTGTGACCCCCTCGACGACGCATAGATCGGAGGCTAACAAGAATGAGTCTACTATTGACCGCTGCTTCATCAACCTGCCTAGCCACCTCATGCCTTTCATGGAAACTGTCTACATCGCCGACGACGCCCCCCTCGAGAACCCCAAGGGCCCCGTCAGCGACCATAAGATCATGCACTTGCGCATCCGTCTCCGCAAGCCCAAGAAGGTCACCGAGCGCGGCATCCCCGCGTACATCTTCGACACCGACCACTACAAGCACCACATCGCCAGAGTGCTCGCCACGGTCGACATGTCCTCTCTCACTCCCACGGCGCGCTGGAGGGCCTTGAAGGCAGCCATGAGAGTTGCCGCTGCCAGAGCCCGCGGCGCGCTTCTCAAGATCCCAGCCGCCGAGCTATCATCACAAAGTGGGACCGTCAGAAAGGAGACCAGGGCCATGACGCTACGCAGCATCGCCAGAGCTGTATGGTACCAGAACATCCCTCTCGCCCAGACGCTGATCGACAACACCGACATCGGCAAACTGCACCTGAAGATTGACGGTCGTACCGTCAGCATCAACGACATGCACGACTTCTCCTCGACCACCGACGCCGCGCACGCGAGCCTCAGCGACGAGCGCAAGGCCCTCTCTGCAGCTCGCTCGCGAGCCGCTTTCGCCGCCAACAATGTCCAGCTCGGTCAGAAGTGGCGCCAGCGAGCCAAACGTGAAGGCCTCCGTGGCGAGCTCTGGAAGCCATTCTCCAAGCGGCTCGTCCTGGCGGGCGTCAAGATCATCGCGGGCGGCGTCGCCAACATCGCCGACCCCGCGGCGATGCATCAGGCCATCATGCGCCACTGGGCCCCCGTCTTTGCTGCAAAGCATGTTCCTGACGACGCCCTCTCCAACTACCTCGACTCGATCTTCCCCAGACGCGCACTCACCCACCTCGACCTACCTGACGCCCAAGCCTTCGAGAAGGCTGCTCGCCTGGCTGGCGACTCCGCACCAGGACCCGACACACTTCCTTACAAAGCATGGTTGCGCGCTCCCGACAGCTTCGGCATCCTCGCCGACTTCTGCCGCGACATCGCTACCAGACGCGCACCGCCTCACGACCTCAACTACTCCCTCATGGCCATGCTTCCGAAGGGCGACGAGCCCTGCGGCAATGCTGAGTGCACCCGTGCTCCAGCGTGCCTACGTCCGAACTCGGATGTGAAGTTGATGGCGTCCGCCGCCAATCGACAGCTTCACGCCCTCGCAGCCGAGACGTCTCCCGAGCAGCAGGGGTTCGTCAATGGCCGCCAGTTTTTGCGCAACGTCGTCGTGGTGGATGCCGCTGCTCGACGTCATAGTCTTTCACCTAATGCAGCTACTGACAAGCCCGTCTTCGTCAGCATGGACATCGCGGCCGCCTTTCCCAGCCTCGACCACCACTGGATGTGGAATGTTCTCCAGCGGTGGGGCATCCATGGACACATGCTTCACCTGCTTCAAGCTTGCTACCACTGGCCTGTCTCCTACCTGGACCTGGGCGGTGCACGCCACCCCGTCTTGATCGCAGCGTCAGGAGTTGCTCAGGGCTGTCCATTAAGCGGTACGATCTGGGCACTCGTCTGTGACCCAGTCATCAGAGCCCTCACCAGCGAGCTCTCAGCCATCGAGCGCGGTCTGGTTAGCGCATGTGCTGACGACCTCGGCATCATCCTCGCGAGGCTAGCGGACATCAGCAAGCTCGCGCCGCACATCATCGCGGTGGAGACTCTCGCGGGCCTGTGCCTCCAGGCCAAGAAATGCATCGTGGTCCCGACTTGGACGTTGCCCACTCAGGACATCATTGCGGAGATTCGCCAAGCACTTGCTGCCGCCCACGCTCCCTGGGCCGCGTTCAAGGTTGAGTCCAGCGCCAGATACCTCGGCTTCTTCATCGGCCCTGGCGCCACTCTTGACGACCAATGGCGAGGCCCTGCGGTCAAGTGGTGGGACCGCATCGAGAAGCTCGCCGCGTCCCACGCCCCTATCCAGCAGAGCATCAAACTGTACAACGTCGCTGCCGTCACGGTCCTTGGATACGTAGGCCAGCTATTTGAACCCTCGGCGGGCATCCTCCAGAAGGAGCTGCAGGCGTTCCACAAGTTGCGGCGCGTTGCCCCGTCCAGCTTCGCGAAGTCCGACATCCTCGCGATGTCTCTCTGGACCAAGGCTGAGGTCCCCATTGGCATCGAGAACTACCTGGCGGCCACCATGTGGCGCACTGCCACCTCCACGGTGGCAGATTGGCGCGGCGCATTCTACGCGCTCTGCGACACCGCGTACGAGCAGCTCCCCCTCGTCACAGTGCAGCGCGGCCACTGGTGCAGCGAGTGCTGGTCCATCAAGTCTTCCATCGCCCAACGGTTCGAGCACATCATCAACTCTACCTTCTTCCCCGACTGCAAGGGCTCCCACTTAAAGAGGCTGACCCGCACAGCTGGCCCCCTTCCTCGCGCCCGAGCCGCTATGATTGGCATCCACGAGCGAGCCGCTCGTGCTGGAATGCAGGCCCTCCTACAGCAGCAACAAGAACTACATCGCCGCCGAACCACACAGATCACGCCGCAGAAGGCTTACATGACGTCCCTCAACGAGCAGCTCTACACCGACACGATGGCAGACACCATAAAGCGGCGTCTCCTGTCCTGGTTCCCGTCCCTTGACCCTGCGAAGTCGCTCACCAGGGAGCCGCTCGGCGGGCCTCGCCGAAATGCCGAAATCGTTCAAGAACGTCTGGCCGACCGAGCTCGCGCATGGGCCGCCCACTGGCTTCCCGACGTCCTGCTCAATGACCACACGATCGACAACCGCTCGGACTGGATGCAGTGGTGCACGGAGTACCTGTACGAGCTCCTCGGGTCCGAGACCTTTCGCCCGCTTTATGCCACCTCCGCTCGCCGACGACAGATCGCCGCCGACATGTGTCTGCAGGCATGGGACAACAGCGGTACTGGCAGAATCCTCCTCGAACACCGTCTCTCAAGAACTCGGACCCGCTCAGATGAACCGACCAGCCTGACTCCGCTACTTCAGCATGAAGCCGCCCAACATCGAGCTCGCCGCCGCTGGGTCGCCAACTTTCTCCCGTACCAGCTGCCCGACACCGACATCAGTGACGCCGACTTCCCCGACGGCGACGAAGACCCTCCAGATGACGAAGGCGAGCCGCCTGATCTTCTTCGTCTCCATCGGGTACCCGCCGACCTTCCTGCTCGTTGGAAACGCCTGCGCACCTACCTGGCTACGCAACCGCCTGCACGGATGTGGGCCACAGTGAAGGCCCTCGTGGGCGCATGGACCACCAGCTACCGCATGCATGTCATCCAGGACAAGCGCCCTTGCCACTTCGGGTGCAATCACCCGCTCGCCAAGGACAACATCCAGCACTACATGACGTGCGAACGCATGTGGCACCAGCTGAGCCTGCCCCGCGGCCAGCTGAGCGCCGACCTCCTCACGCGCATGGCGCTCCCCGAGCTGTCGCACCCGTTCGACGGCGAGAACGGCGTCCCGAACTCCGCCACGCGCCTCGCCGTCGCGACGCGGGCGTACCACCTCACCAAGGACCTCCCCCTCCCGATCTCCTACCACAACCAGTACACGGCCTTCGCCGCCGCCCGCCGCGCCCTCCAGCTCCCGGCTGACCTGAGCGGAGGTGCGGGCGCGCCGCGGCCGCGGCTCGGCTAAGCGTGGACGAACCTTCCTTCAAGGTTACGTTCGCTCCTCCCCCTCCCCCTCTCCCTCCCCCTCCCCCTCCACAATTACTCAATATGAATACTACTCTCCCTCTTCCCCTAATGGCGTGCTGGGAATCTTCGACCCCCCCCCCCGCGTACTGTTTTTTACACAGGATTCCCGGGAGTTGGGTTTTCGCCTGCGTTTTTTTCAAAATGCTGCTCTCGCTGAGGCGCCGGCCTCATTTCTGCTCCCGAATCGTTCCGAATCGTGCTCCCGCTGCAGCGTGGGCCTCATTTTCGGATCGGTGTTTTGCCTCCGTCGTTCAGGATGGCGTTCTCGCCCCAGCGCGGGCCTCTTTCTCGCGCGCCCATCCGCCCGCCACCACCGCGCCGCACCACGCCCCGCCCCGCCGCACGCACACCCACCGCCACTTCCACCCACCAGCGCACGCACGCACGCACGCGCACCACCACCGCGCACCGCCACCACCACCGCACTACCCCACCCACCACCACCACGCTACACCGCGTCACACCACATCACACGCGCGCACACACAGACACACACGCACGCACACACACACACACACACACACACACACACACACACACACACACACACACACACAGACACACACACACACACACCACCACCACCGCCACCACCACCACCACCGCCATCACGCACGTACGCACCTGGCCCACCACCAAACCACCAAGACGCCACACCACGTCACACCACAGCACACGCGCACACACGCACACACACACATACACACCACCACCACAACAACCACAACCACGCACACACGCACGCACGCACGCGCACCACCACCCACTACGCACACGCGCGCGGAGCCACAGGTCCGCTACGACACGCGTCCGCGGATAGAGAAAATCAGCGCCATGGTAAGGGATGGGAGGGAGGGGTAGGATGTCAGATGTTGACGCGAGCGCACCTAACTTGCCTCCCCCCCTCCCCCCTCCCCCTCCTCCTTACCCCCCCCCTCCTCCTCCTCCTCCTCCTCCTCCTCCTCCTCCTCCTCCTCCTCCTCCTCCTCCTCCTCCTCCTCCTCCTCCTCCTCTTCCTCCTGCTCCTCCTCCTCCTCCTCCTCCTGCTCCTCCGTCTGTGGGGGGCGGAGGAGACGCGGCAGCAGGCTTGAGCGCAGCCTCACGGCAAAAATCCTACGTTCGAGGCCTGTGTCGGGGTGCCTTTGCATCCTTGCTCGCTCGGCTCATTCCCAGACAGCGACGTCCAAGTCGAGGAATCGCAAACGTGGATCAAGGCGCGTGGATCAGCTCCGGGCCCCGCTTCCGTGAAGAATCGGCACGCTCCGGCGCCAAAGCAGGCGGCATTGGCTTCATGTTTTTTTGGGGGTACTTTTCCCGATCCAAGGGATCCACAGATCCATTGGATCCACATATCCGAAATCCATGTTAGCGTGCGCCCGGTTAAGGAACACTTCCGCATCCTCACTCGCATTTACCAGTTGCTATTCCGGTGCGCAGCAGGTTCGTGACGCTCCAGAGCATTTCTGGAACGTTCTCAGAGCGTTCCGGAACGTTCTGTAACGGCCGCGACTTCCGATTTCCAGGACCGCCGGATCTCAGAATGCCCGATTCACGTATCCTGATCCGAGTTTTTCTCCATCCTGGTTTCGCCTTGCATGCCTCGGGCTAAAGTTGCGAACGCTCATGTCATATCTCGGACGGGGCTGGGACGAGGATCAATCCGTTCCAGAGCGTTCCGGAACGCTCTCAGAGCGTTCCGGGACGCTCTGAAAAGGCCGCGACGCCCGATACCAGAGCCGCCGGGTCTTAGAGATTCTCGATTTATCTTCACGCGAATTTATCCTCGTCCTGGCTATATTCATCCGTCAATTCCCCCTCCCTCCACCCAAGAATCAAAGTTGGCGATGGCTCTGCTGAGCTGCCTTTCGACGACAGGGTTAAGTTGGGCCTGTCCTCCTACAGGCGGGGTGTTCAAGAATAGCCAGAAAATAGTCTCGGGACGATTTTTCGAATAGTTGTGAATCAGTTTGAACATGTTTTGATTATTTCAAACTTTTCCTTCAACATCCGCCCCTTATCAGGACATGCCCGACCTGACCGCAGTCTGCCCCGCGCGTGCGGAACCCTCAGACGTTCGGGCGATGGCAAACATGGATCAGGGGGACCTGGATTAGCGACGGGTTCCGTCTGGATTTCCGCCGCCGAGCGAGGCGGCACCGGCCGCATCTTGGGGAGGGCACCTCCCCCGATCCATGAATTGGCGACCGCGCGCCAAATCCATGGGATCGCTGATCCATGTCTGTGCGCCCCCGAGACGTGGCGTCCAGGGTCTGGGAGCCGGTAGGACACCCATCGAGGCCTGACCATCGATCATCGAGGACAACAGAACCCCTACCCTTGATGACACGATGAAGACGTTCGAAGAAGAACACATAATGCCATAAATATAAATTTTTGGCGCTCCGCGCGGATTTCTTGGATCCGCGCCTGGGCCTCAATGTCTTGTTGATAGCGTTTTTCTTTTTCTAAATATATCTGGGCGGCGGCTTGGTCTGATCCACCTGCAGAAAAGGCCCCCTTATCCTTAATGTTATTGGCCCTCCACACTAATAGGCTCATAGGTCCCCTCCCAAAGGGTCAAGGTCATTTTTTATTTCTCATCAATCGATCTCTCGCCGCCCTCATCAGGCAAGGCATCCCCCAGTGTCTGAAGCCTGCTGGACACCTTCCTGAAGGCCCCCCACCGTAGGTGCCATGAGAAATCTGAATCATTTTCGCACGGGCCACTGGACACTGAAGGAGTGATCGGGGCACATGCGGGCAGGCCACTCTCTTGCTCGATGTGCCTACGTCGTGCTGCACTGGGTCTCACAAGACCGCCTCGCGACGGGTGCCCTGACAGCAACCAGAACCGAAAGGCCTGGCCGCTCTGCATGTCGCCAGGCCGTTTTGGGACGAGGGAGGCCTCACTTTTTTTCAGGTTCGCTGCTTCTCTTGGCTGGTGCTAGCTTTCGCCGCAATCAGCGGCTCATCAGGCTTGAGCCTAGATTGGCTCTGGATTCGCACTCTACCTGCAAGGAGGAAAGACTGGTCTACTCTGTAAGGACGGTTTTTTGAAGGCAGATCTGCCTTCAAAAAACCATTTTTTGAAGGCGCTCGATGTGTTTGTCTGTTCGATCCTCGACTTGTTCTCCCTCGATGCGCTCGACGCTCGCGATGCCCGTCGTCGGCCCGCTCGGGGCCCCTGGCTGAAGCTGCGCCCACCTCGCGGCTCGTCCGCTCAGGAGGGGTCCAGAGGATCAGCGGCACGCACGGCGTGTTTCAATGTGTGTGTGTGTGTGTGAACGGTTTTTTGAAGGCAGATCTGCCTTCAAACAATGGTTTTTTGAAGGCAGATCTGCCTTCAAAAACCCGTTCTTACAGAGTAGACCAGTCTTTCCTCTTTGAAGGCAGATCTGCCTTCAAAAAACCGTTCTTACAGAGTAGACCATTTTTTGAAGGCAGATCTGCCTTCAAAAACCGTTCTTACAGAGTAGACCAGTCTTTCATCCTTGCAGGTTGAAGGCAGATCTGCCTTCAAAAAACCGTTCTTACAGTGTGTGTGTGTGTGTGTGTGTTACGCGTTCGCTTTGGTGCAACAGACAAAGTGTTTGCTTGTTCGCACGTGCCTGCCGTGCCGCTCCTGGCCCCCCCCCCCCCCCGAAGCAGAGGCCGCCCGCCCGCGCTCCCCGTCTCTGCCGAGGGCCTGCCCCAGCGGCGGCCTCGCGGGCGCGGCCTGCGGGGACGAGTGGGCGCTCTCCTGCGCCTTCGCGGCCGGGCTGGCTCGCGAGGAGACGCCTCGGGGCTCAAGAGGCGGGGGTCATAAAACAGGGCTAGGATCGGGATAAATCGCTCCAGAGCGTTCCGGAGCGCTCTCAGAGCGTTCCGGAACGCTCTGGAGCGGCCGCGGCGCCTAATACATCCTCCAAACCCGCCGATTCTCAGAGATTTCGAGTTATCCCGAATCGATTTTGTCCCGATCTTCGCGTCGTTTTAGGTCACTGCACAGGGGGGTCGGTCAGAGCGCCGGATCTCGCAGGACCCTGCAGGGCCAGGGGCGCATTGACCCAGGTTAGGGCGCAGGCTCCTGCAGGATTTTGCAGGATCCTGTAGGGCCCGACTGACCCGGGTTTGGATTGACCTGGGTCAGTAGATCCCCGAACGCCCCGTTGGTGAGGCCTCGGGTTGCGCATCGACGCGCTAAAGGGACCCCCCCCCCCTCCCCCAAATTCACAGTTGGGTCGGGCCTCGCGGAGGCCCGGGAGGTTTTACCTGTTTTTTGTCCTCTCACGCCTGTGCTGCCGAATGCCTGGGACCAACTTTGAATCTGGGTCCCATTTGTTTGTCCATCTACGGCAGCCCCCTCAGATACGTCTGGCTGGCCTCAACAGACCCACCGAGTACTCCTGGGCGGTTTCAGCACCCTGGCGCATCAAGGGGGATGGGGGGAGGGGGGAGGGCTTCTCAGAAGCACCCCTGCTTCTCAGAAGGCGCGGGCCTGACCGATAGATGTAGGGCAGGCGCCTTCTAAGAAGCAGCCTCTTTCTAAGACGCCTCCCCCTTTCCCCCCCCCCTACCCCCTTGTGCGCGCCGCCAACTTTCTTTGCGCAGCCCGAAGCCTTACCACCCCCCGTCGTCGGGGATTCGAGGGGGCGCAGGGTCAATTTCGATTCGATCGATCCGATTCGGTATAGGTGCTGACCGATCTGAACCGAGTCGGTTCCAATATTCTGGCGATCCGGTGCGGCCTTATGGCTCTGTTGTGCATCCTGGTGCAGCCGATCTGGTTTGATTCCGACTCCGTGCCGATACGGCCCGATCTGGCGCACGTTCCGATCCGGTCCGATTTGCCACCTCGATGCTGACTCATCCTAGGGGGGGCGCAGGCCGAGGTTCCTGTGCGCTCTGGAAGCAGCCGTTTGGGCATCGGGAGGCCCCGGGGGACCTCCAGAAACAGCCGTCGTCGCCGTCGTCGTGGGTCGTCGTCGCCCGCTGCCGCCCGTCGCCGTCGTCGGTCGTCGTCTATCGTCTTCGTCGTCTTCTTCGTCGTGTCGTGGTCGTCGTCGCCGGTCTGTCGCGTCTGTCGCTGGAGGGATCGCCCGCCGCCGTCGCCCGTCGCGGTTGGCGACGTCGTCGGTCGTCGTTACACGTTATCGTCGTCGTCGTCGTCGTCGTCGTCGTCGTCGTCAGTCGTCGACGTCTGTCGGCCGTCGTCGTTGAGGATCGAGGGTCGATGAGTGGTTCTGGCAGCACCTCTGGCCTCTGTGGGGCCTCCCAGCCCAACTGCCTTCATGACCTCTGCAGACCTCCCCGGGGCATTTGCGCGGTGGCCTCCGAAGACCGTCTGGGCGTCGCCTTCGTCGGTCGTCGTCTTCGTCGCCGTTGCCGTCGCTGTCGCCGTCGCGGTTGCCGTCGCCGTCGCCGTCGCCGTCGCCGTCGCCGTCGTCGTCGTCGTCGTCGTCGTCGTCGTCGTCGTCGTCGTCGTTGGCGTCGTCGTCGTCGTCGTCGTCGTCGTCGTCGTTGGTGTCGGCGTCGGCGTCGGCGTCGGCGTCGGCGTCGGCGTCGTCGTCGGCGTCGTCGACGTGGTCGGCGACCGCCGAGAGGAGGCGCTCGCGCTGCACCCGTCACAGCGTGTGCTCGGGCTGACGCTGCCGCTCGGCGGCTCCGGGAGCCGGGGTGCCCGAATTCTGGGGCAGGAGAATCTCGAAGAAGACAAAACGCCATGAGCCATGGGCCATAACCATAAACTTTTGGCGCTCCGCGCGAATTTGTTGGATCCGCGCTGGGCCCCCCTGGCGGCGCCTCCGGCGCCGTCCCTGGCGCGCTCCCCGCCCCAGGGTGGGGGTCAGCGCAGATCCGAGAGATCCGCGCGGAGCGCCAACAGTTTATGTTTGTACCGGTTTTTCTTCCAGAATCATCAAGAGCAGAATAATCGTGGAAACGTAAGGCTCGAGTGATCCGGATTCGGGTTTGCCGACCCTTTTTGGCGAACGCGTCCTGGATTTTTGACGGTCCAGTTTTTGTTGGTGGGATGTTTGTAGCGGGAGCTCGCGTAAAATTTCGGACTGGATCTCGTCATTTTCATGATGGCCCCCGTCAGGCCAATCCGAGTCCCCCGAACCCGACTCTTACGTCTCCCTGAAAGAACCCTGAACCTTAATAACAGACTGAAGACGTAGCTTCACATAGGTTTCCGCGCCTGCATCAGGGATCATCGATCCAGGTGGTTTGGCTAGGTACATCTGCAGAAAAGACCCCCCGTCCCTGAAGTTTTGGACCTAGCACAGGTCTGCTCCCAAAGGGTTAGGGGTCCTTTTACTGTTATCGGAGAAGGCCCACCTCCCACCCTTGCCCCCCCTCGAGCTCGAGCTGGCGGCAGTGCCATCCGAAGATCGAAGCCATCGTAGCCGCTTCAGCCCCCGGTATTCCAGGGGGGGTGGGCGCTGATCGTGAAAGCTCAGCGGGGCTTGCGCACCCCAGGGTTGGGCGCATGGGGCCCCGCATGGGCCCAGCCTGCCACCACCCCGTGCCCCTCCGAGGCGGGCGTGGGGTGCCGCCTTCAAGGGGTGCGTGGCCGCACCGAACGGCTGCTACGGCTTCTGGATGGGCCGAAGCGGCCTGATTGTTTTCCTCTTCCTGCTCCTGCTCCTCGCTACCCCTTCCCTCCCTCCCGCCCCGCGCCACAGGGCGGCTGCGGCAAGAGGTGCTCTCAGTTGCTCTTACGCACGGCGGTGGCCACAAACTTTCTGGGCCTTGGTCAGGGCCAACGGGGCTCAGGTCAAAGTCGCGGGTCTTGACGCCGTCGCCTGGTGGGTGGCTTGTTCGGGATGCTGATCCAGAAGGGCGGATTGCGGCGGCAGGCTGTATTGCGATCCCTTCTCTTCCTCGCGCGCGAGCTGTGCCTGGGCTTCGTAACTAGGCCCGCCGCAGCATGCGCTCCGAGCTGATACGGCCCTGCCTGCACAGGTCGTCGATGAGGGCCATGCGCGCGAAGTGAAATGCCCCTGGCGGGCCTCTTCCCCACGCGCCGGTCGCTAGCGCAGCAGCTCGAGGATGTCGACGCGGTCTGGGCCAAGTCGGCTTTCGACATCTCGTGGCCATCCTCTGGGCTGTCTTAGGGGGCTGGCGATGGATGCTGACGCGTGTCCAATAGTTGCCGACGGATCCCGTGAACCCTCGCGCCGCGTGGCGACGAGCGCGTCGGCTCCGCTCGGCAAGACACGTCCGCGAGATGGAGTCCAGGGTCCGCCCCGTCCGGGCGCAGCTCGCGCCCGAGGAGGAGAAGGAGGAGGAGGAGGAGGAGGAGGAGGAGGAGGAGGAGAAGGAGGAGGAGGAGGAGGAGGGGGAGGAGGAGGAGGAGGAGGAGGAGGGGGAGGAGGAGGAGGAGGAGGAGGAGGAGGAGGAGGAGGAGGAACACCCAGCGGGCTCGTCGCCCCGGATGAGCGCGTCGGTCGGGCCGACAGCAGCCCGCAGGCGCAGGGGGCAGCTGTGCCGCCGAAGCGGGGCAGAGTGGCGAGGCTTACGGAGCCGCCCCAAGTCCCGAAGCTGTCGCCGGGGCCGGGTTTTGCATTCCGAGCCGCTGTTTGACGGTTCCCAGGCTCGACGAGAGCCCCCCAGAGGCGGAGCTTTCTCAGGAGGGGAAAACACACAGACACAATGGGACATCCGAGAATTTGGGTGGAATGCGAAATTTCAGGACATATGGAGAAATATGGAGAATCTTGGGAGTTGTGTCTAGTTGCTAGTGTGTCCCTGGGCCCCCTCGTGCTCGGAAACTGGAGCACATACATTACCAGTGGCTGGCTGTTTTATCCCCCCCCCCTAGGGTTTTTTAGGGTCGGGGACGACGTCGGGCTAGTATAGTGCATACTTGTGTTTCCCCGTTTCCCCAGGGAAACAGCGAAACATGCATACACCAGGATCCCGTACACACCAGGATCCACTTTCCTGCTTCCCTGCGGGGCCGGAACGGAGGGTTTCTCTGAAGGGTGTAGGCGACCCGTCCTCCTCCTCCTCCTCCTCCTCCTCCTCCTCCTCCTCCTCCTCCTCCTCCTCCTCCATCTCCTCCTGGCCCCTCCCCCCCTTCCACCTCCTCCTCCTCCTCTCCTCCTCCTCCTCCTCCTCCTCCTCCTCCTCCTCCTCCTCCTCCTCCTCCTCCTCCTCCTCCTCCTCCTCCTCCCTCCTTCTCCTCCCCTTCCTCCTCCTCCTCCTCCTCCTCCCTCCTCCTCCTCCTCCTTCTCCTCCTCTCCTCCTCCCTCCTCCTCCTCCTCCTCCTCCTCCTCTCCCTCCTCCTCCTCCTCCCCTCCTCCCCCTCCTCCTCCTCCTCCTCCTTCTCCTCCTCCTCCACCTCCTCCTCCTATTCCTCGATCTCCCTTTTTCGGGCCTCCTGGGCCTCCGTCGTCGCAACCGCTGGGTTCGCCTCGGAATCCTTGTCAGAACGCATCCCAGGAGAGGTCTGGGGAGTAGTGGTATCGGTGCGTTTGGTCTCCCCACAGGTGGTGTGGTGACCACACCGTGTGGTGGTCAGGGCCGGCCATGACGGGGGCGGATGATCCGGGGGGTGGTGGATATAGCATGGCCTGGGCCATGAGACCTTCCAGATTTCATGGCCCCCTCTTTTACGCTCAGCACGGCACCTGGCCCCCCTCTTCGTCTGCGCACGGGCCTCGGGCCAGGATGTACAAATACACAATATGAATACTATTCTCCTCTCTCCATTGATGACGTCTGGAAGATATCCCGTCCCCTCCGCGTATTGTTTTTCACATGCAGGAGTCCCGGGAACTGTGTGTTCGCAGTTTTTTTTTCAGAATGTTGCTCCCGCTGCAGCGCTGGCCTCATTCTCGGGTTTCGGCTTGTTCCGAATCGTGCTCCCGCTGCAGCGCTGGCCTCATTCCCGCGTTTCCGCTTGTTCCGAATCGTGCTCCCGCTGCAGCGCTGGCCTCATTTCAGCGCTTCCGCTCGTCCCGAATCGCGCTCCCGCCGCAGCGTTGGCGTCATTATTTCCAGTGCCATGCCACGGCATGGATTTCGGTCTTTCCAAAAAGGTTTCAACATCTAGAAAATAGCCTCCCGAACAACCATCGGAAGTGATTCCACATGCTGTGTCGATTCGTTGATTTTTGGAGCCGCAGCCTTGGGGCGCTGCCATGCCATGCTATGTCAGGCTACGCATTGATCTTCAACACCATGCTATGCCATGTCATGCTACGCCATGGTGAGGGATGGGAGGAACGGGTGGGACGTCAGATAGGACGCGAGCGCACCTAGCTGGGCGCCCCCCCCCTCTCCTGGGCGCGATTCTCTTGGACGCCACCGAGGTGAGTCCGCGGGGACCTGGGGTGGCCGCACGCTTTTGGGACTCGGGCCGCCCTCCGAGGACGTCTCGGGCGGCCGGGGGCCTCCAGGTTCCCAGCGCCGTGCGGTGGCCTACCGTGCGGCGAGGTCTCTTGCGGGATGTTCTCGAGGTTCCCACGCGGTCTGTCACCGCACCCTCTTGGGACGCCCGATTCCTCCCAGGAAGGAGGAGGCCTGCCTCTCCTCCCCGCCGAATCCGTGGTGTCCCCTACGAGCTGCCCCCCCTCCTCATCCGCGTGCTTCTCATCCTCGTACTCCTCGTGCTCGTCCTCTTCCTCCTCCTCCTCCTCGTCCTCCTCCTCCTCCAAGTCCTCCTCCTCCTCCTCCTCCTCCTCCTCCTCCTCCTCCTCCTCCTCCTCCTCCTCCAGTCCTCCTGCTTGCACTTCTCACTGGGCACGGTCCAACCTCCCCCTCCTCCCCATCCTTCCCTTCTCCTGCGTCTTCTCTCTCTCCCTCTCCTCCTTCCCCATCCACCTCATGTTCCTCCTCCTCTTCTTCTTCTTCTTCTTCTTATTCTTCTTTGTATTATTCTTATGTTTCTTCTTCTTCTTCTTCATCCTCTTCTTTCTCCTCCTCCTCCTCCTCCTCCTTTTCCTCTCCTGCTTTTTGTTGACAACGTGCACGTGCCTACGCAGCAGGCGCCGCCAGAGGAAAGGGACAATTTCTTCGCCAGTCTGGAGGACCTCATTGCATCGCAGTCAGCAGGGGTTGAATATGTGATCATGGGTGACTTCAGTGCCTGGCTTGGCCCTTTCGCTTCAACAGGCGTGGGGACTTCTTCACGTGACTGGGAGAGCGAGTCAGGCGCGCGCCTGCGCGAGACAGTGGCCGAATTCCACATGGAAGTGGTCAGCACGACGAGGCAGGACTAACAACCGACGTGGCAGGCGACTCGGGGCACCATCACCGCATCGACTATCTGATAATGTCCACTGACCTTGCTCCTACCGCCAGGGACGTGCACACGAACTTGGAAATTGACATGAGTTTTGCCACCTCCGTCGACCACTGGCCGGTCAGCGCCTCCCTGGTCGTCAACAAGTGGTACCGACCCCGCGAAGCAAAGACTCCAAACATTTGCAGAGCCCAGCTCAAAGATCCACACTTGCAACTCGCACTGCAGCAACGGCTACGGGATCATAATGTCGCGTTACGGGGTCGCCCGCACGAGAAGTTGCAGCAGCTGAATCAGACCATGACAGATGGTGCAGGACTTCTTTGCAGCAGCTTGTGACGCACCTCGCAATCATTGGATTAGCAAGCAAGCGTGGCAGCTCATGCAGCGCGCATGGACGTTGAAGGATGCCCCACGCGACGTTCGTTGGCACTGCCGAGGCGCGCGCATGCGTGCGTGCTTCTTTGCTTGGGGGTCGCACAGTGTGTTGAGTGCACAACAGGATTACAAGTACCGTTATGGATTTCATTATGCCCAGCTTCACCGCGCTCGAGTTGCGGAAACCCGAGCACTGCACCAATTTCGGCTCGCCGAAGCCGAGAAGGCCAAGGCGCTGGTCGCTGATCGCGAGCACCAGTGGACTACCCTGGCTTGTGAGGCCGACCAAGCGGCAGCAGCCGGAGATCTTCGCAAGACCTACTTGATTTTCCGACGACTCGGGGGTTTTTGTCCGTCCGCTCTGCCAGGCACTCGCTTGGCCAACGGTGAGTTCGCAGCCTCTGAGGCGCAGGCACAGGAGCGGTGGGAGATTCTTCGCCGAGCTCCCGATTGGTGAGTTGCAGCAGGACGTCCCGCAGCCACCGCCTCCTCCACAGCCCGATCCGCAACTGGTTCGGGGTGCCTTCGCTGAAGTGGGCGACGTGCGCTACATAGTAGGCCAACTCCTTCATATCATCAAGGACAACAAGGCGGTAGAGTCAATGCACCCCTTCCGCACTACCATCCTTTAGCCCTTACTGCTCCTTTGCCTTGCGTGCACTGCCCGATGTACTGATTGCTTCTGCTTCCGCAGCGATATCACTTCGGCTCTAAGGAAACGGAAAAGGAGCGAGCCTGCGGCGCGCGCGCGTGCGTCGGCCGGCGGGCCGGCCGCCTCCCTTCAGTGTTACCCGATTGTATGCTTGACGGCATTATCCCTTCTTCCACATGTCATCCGCGGAGACCAATGACCATGAGATAGTATCGGAACATCTTGCAGCGATCATGAATATCCAGGCAAAAGACTGCTAGGCCCCGGCGGCCTGCCGATCGAGGTGTGGAAGGCCGCCGGTGACCTCGCAGCCGACTACGTAGCATACGTCATCGAGGACGTCATCCAGACCAATGATGTCCCAGGGGCATGGCGCGGGGGAATGTTCGCCAAAATTTTCGAAGGAAACGGTGACGCGGCAGAGTGCGACATGTACCGTGGGTTCCTGGTGGGCGATCACACTTCGAAAATCTTCACAGGTGTCCTGTGCCCTTCCGTTCAGCGCAGAGTTGAGGAAACACTACCTCCGCAGTAGTGCGGTGGGGTGGCGTGCTCTGGGGTCACTCGTGGTCACCACGTCGTGTCGAGCTTCGTCGAGAGGACCGCCATCAAGAATAGGCCTGCGGCCACTGTTCCTTAACCTCACGAAGGCTGTAGACAAGCTTGTACGCGAAATGGCCTTTCACCTTGAAGCTGGCTCCACTACCCAGGCGGACCTGGCCGCGCAGCTCCAGCAAGTTGGGGTTGACGACGCGGCAGCCTCGCACCTGGCCAACTACCTCATGCAGCACGGTGGCATCTTACAGCAGATCGAAGCCTCCGAGCACCTCGCCAGCTTAGTGGCTAACCTGCACAAGGACATCTGGTTCGCGCTCTCCCCCGAGGGCAGGGCCATCCCGACGACGAGGGGCTCACGCCAAGGCTGCCGATTCGGCGCCTTGGTATTCAATATAGTGTATAGCGTGGCCCTGCGAGAGCTTCGAGCAGCGCTTGACGAGCTCAACCTCATACTCCCAGCGGAGTGCGAGCCCAGCGGCCCGTCATGGGCCCACCGGCCCGCCGCCTTCCCCACGCACACTGTGCCAGTTGGGGGAGTCACGTGCGTCGACGACGAGGCCATATTGATTGTAGGCGAGGACGACACGAGCCTCAACCGCAACGCCGCCCTGGTAGCCGAAGCGGCGCACACCACCATGGCCAGGCACGGCATGCAGCTGAATTGGAAGCCCAGCAAGTCAGAGGCCCTCGTCATGTGGAGGGGCAAGGGCGCACGGGCCGCCAAGGCAGCGGCGATGATTTGCGAGCGCCTTGGATTTGCCCTGAGTCCGAGACATCGAGTATCACGTGGTGGGCGAATACAAACTGTTGGGATCCATGCATTCTGAAGTCGCGTCCTCTGCCCTGGACAGTGCACGCCTGCGGAAAGCATCCGCGGTGTACCACAGCCTGGTGCGGAAGGTTTTCGCAGTGCAGTCCATGAGCGTGCAGCTCAGGTAGCGACTTTTCCAGTCCCTCGTCCATTCGCTACTGTTCTATAAGTGTAAGTCAGGCCTGTCTCACCACAGGAGGAAAATTCAATAATCGTTTAACAAACCGTATGGGGACGGTTTTTGTGCGTATTGTTTTGATCATTGCTTGGTTTTTTGGTATAGTATTTTTTCGTCCAAGATCCGCCCGTAGGGGGACATGCCCGACCTAAGCCTGAGCGATCTTGCACTTTTTCAAGTATTACAGCTACCTTCCATTGACAATATACTCTGGCGGCGCCATCTGCTATACAGATCCAGTTTGATCTGCAAGCCCTTCCCTGCGCTGCAGGCCCTCTTCCTGCCCCACTCGGCCTCTCCCCCCCGTGGTCTCAACGAACCCTCGCCGACCTCTAGGTGATTCCTGGGCTCGCGCCGCCGCCTGCCCGGCGCGACCTAGATGCGCTAGGGCACCCAAGCTCAGTAAAAGGAGCAGCCGCATGGACAGAATTCTTGCCACCGACTGGTGGAGGCGGAAACGTCTCGCCCCGGACGTTACGCTAGGATCGGCGTCTTTTGCCGACGACTCCACATATCCTCTTACTATTCCGTACCTGGAGCGTGGCAAACTTTTCGATAGCTGCCAAGCCGTCGCTACGCACCGGATGAGGGTTCAAGGCCATCGGGAACCTGTGGCATCCGTGATCCCAGCAGGGGCTACGACGTGCCCTGCTTGTTCAACAGTTTTCGGGACCACTGGCAACTATTAGACTATGCGCAGTGCAGAGCTCGCAAGTGCCGACATGCGATTCTCGCACATTGATGTGCCTTTCCGTTATTGGTGTCTTGCCGCACGACTTAGGTCTATGGTTTTCGTTTGTCTGTCTGTCTGTCTGTCTGTCTGTCTGTCTGTCTGTCTGTCTGTCTGTCTGTCTGTCTGTCTGTCTGTCTGTCTCTCTGTCTGTCTGTCTGCCTGTCTGTCTGTCTGTCTGTCTGTCTGTCTGTCTGTCTGTCTGTCTGTCTCATCATCATCATCATCATCATCATCATCATCATCATCATCATCATCATCATCATCATCAGGAGCGTCGTGGGCAGGCAACACCAGCTGAGCCTGTTCGAGGCGCTCCTGGCTGGGAGGAGGACTCTGCTGAGTCTCGTGTCCCGGAGCCACGTGCGGCTGGAGATCGGGCCCACGGTCAACACGGCAGCAAGTTTACACTCTTGATGTCTCTCGTATCACTAGCAGCCCATCCAGAGAGGATGCCCATGAGCCGTTTTCGGTTCGCGAGTGTGCGTCGCGGCCGTCATTTTTGCGGGTCCAGGTCCGTCGGTTTCGGTCCCAGGCCGTTTTCGTTAAAGGGTGGTTTGCTAAAGGGATGCTTGTCCACCGCCGATGAACACGCGGCACCCAGACCTCCCGACCCCTTCCCAGGGTCTGCGCCTTCGTCCCAGACGCTTTTTGACGGCCCAGCTCAGATGCAGCTCTTGGGAGGCTGAGTTCGGCATTGGTGCTGTGCCATCCGTAGCGGACAACCAGCCTCATTTGGCACAGGCCCGCTTAGTCCTGGGCTCAATCTGGGTTGCGGTGCAGTAAGCCCGCATAGCAAGGATGGGCAATTTTCCCAAGGATGCCCTTGCATCCTTGCCTCCTCGGTCCATCTTTGGCCACTTTCGTTGAAATGGGCGTTCAAGGCCCTTGCATCCTTGTCGCGCAGCCTTATGATACGGGCCGACTGCAGGTTCGCGTTATGTCGACCTGCGGCGACCCCGCCGCTGGCGTTCATCTTTGAATGCTGCCTGCGACGCAGAGTTGGTCGGTGTTGGCCGAGCTGACGTTTCGAAGACGCCCGACCGTCCAAGGTTGAACGATCCCCGCGGTGTCAGAAGCCAACGCCGGGGTCGACACGACACGAATCTGCCGCATTCTGGCTGAATGGCCCCTCAGTCTGGCCTATCAGCAGCCCTCGGCTGTTCTTCGGAAGACTTCCCAGAAGCTGTCCCCGACGTCCGCGGGTCCGGAGGCGATCCCCTCTCTGCGCCGCAGATTTTGTTATCTTTCAGGGGGGCCTCAGAGGGTCCCTTCCAATCCCTTGCGGTTTGGAGGGTTTCGTCCAGACTTTGGGCGGATTTGATCGACATCTGAAAGAACTCTGGGCGAGGCTGGGACGAGAGGGTGGAGAGGGGTGGTCGAAATCTGGACGAAGTCCGGTGGAAGTCATGCCTGGGGCCGCGGAGGTCCACAGAGGCTCCCATATAGAGGCGCACCCAGCGAAGGAGCGTCGGGCCTGACGCGGGCCCGGCCTGGCTTTTTCTCAGGGCGTGGGTCGGGTTGACCCAAACGGGGGTCCAGCGACAAGGGGGTGGTGCAGTAGATTTGGTGCAATCGAGCACTGGGGGCGTGCAATACCTTCAGGGGCGCAAATGTATTGCTGGATTTTTAGCGTGTAATGCATTACTTGCAATACAATGCAATACAATTCTCCCGTGCAGCACATTTGCAATATAATTGCCCCAAATCTATTGCACCACCCCCTTTCAGCTGGACCCCCTTGTGGGTCACCCAAACTTTTTCTCAGGGCTTGGGACGTCTGGGTGCCCCCGCTGTCCTCCGAGGACAGGGCCACCGAGCACTCCGTGCGGGCCACCAGCTCGGTACTTGCTGCGCGTGCGACCAGCGATCACAGATCGCAGTGTTGGGGGGTCGCGGGCCTGGAGACGATCCTCCTCCTCCTCCTCCTCCTCCTCCTCCTCCTCCTCCTCTTCGAGGTGAATGGAAACGGGGGTCAGTCAGAGAGCTGGATCTTGCAGGAGCCTGCAGATACAGGGGTGCACTGACCCAGGCGAATTAGCGCGCAGGATCCTGCTGAGTCCTGCAGGAGTTTGCAGGATCCTTCAAAGCTTGATTGACCCGGGTTTGCGCAGACCCGGGCCAGTAGATCCCCGACGGAGGACCACTTGTCCGCCGATCACGCGGTCGGCTCAGCTTGATCACACGATCGTCCGAGCTGGAATGCATGAGCGATCCGTGATCGGCGCAGTGGCCGTCGTGATCAGGGCTGCGATTGGATCACGTGATCAGGTGGCGGGATGGGGCCGAGCTATCAGCCAGACACTAAGGCCACCAACCTGAGCCAGAACGTGCTGCTGGTCAACGAGGCGCTGGGTCGGTTGAACCTCCTCCTTGCAAGCCGTCGGCTCCTTCTCTCCCTCCTTTCTCCTGCTCCTCGTCGAGCTTCCTCTCGTGCTCCCTCTCCTCCACTTTTCTCCTCTCCTTCCCCCCATCATCGTCGTCGTTCCGCTCGTCCTCCTCCTTTACTTCCCCCTGGTCTGCTGCCCCCTCCTGATGTATTCGTCTTTGTCCTCCTCCTGCCTCTTTTCCTCCTCGGAGCCTCCTTGCCCTCTCTCGCTCGCTCGCTAACTCTTCTTGAATTCACCCCTCCGACACTCGTGGTCAGCCTTCTCACCCTCCTCCTTCCCCTCCTCCTCCTCCTCCTTCCTCGTCCTCGTTATCCACCTCCATCTCCTTCATCGTCCTTCCCATTGGCCGACTCCTTCCTACTCTCCGCCCCTCCTAGTCGTCCTCCTCAGTCTCCCCCTCCCTCTACGTCCTCCTCCCCTCTCCCCTCTCCCCTCTTTCTTCCTTCCTCCTTGTCCTCATCGCGCTCCTCCCCGTCTGTCGTCGTCCCCCTCCTACTCCTTCTTGCTTGTCATGCTCCTCCACCTCTTCACCTCTTGCCACCCCTCCTCTTTCCTCCTTTCTCCTCCCTCCCCTCTCCCCATCTCCCCCCCCCAGACACCCTCACTCCGTCCCTCCCTCCGTCTCCCTTCGCATCCTCTTCCCTCCTCGACCTCGTCCCCACACCTACATTCCCTCCTCCCTCCTCGTCCGCCCTCCCTCTGAGGAGTAGCTTTTCCTCACCGCGCAGCCAGGCGTGTCGGTCGGGCGAGCCTGGAGTTTCGCCTGATACTTCCCCGCTGTGTGTGATCATGAAGCTCGAGCTCTCCTATGGTTGTACCAGTTGAGAGCGGTTGGTTTTCAACATGTGGTTCTTGCCCAGCGCTGCGCACGTTCGTCAAAACAGTTCCCAGCAGTTGCAAGAGGCCAGTGGTTGTCAAACTGGGACGGCTGCTTTAGCGCCGCACGCATTCCGTTCAAACCGCTCCAAGAGCTGCGCAAATGGAGGATGGCCCGTTATCAACATGTGACCCTCGCTTTTCGCCTTGCACACGCGTCTTCATAGCTGACAGCTGTAAAGATGCATAGCGGTTCCTTTGCAACACGGGGCTCTCGCCTGGGGATTCACAATTGTACAGTCGATACCTGTGATGAGAATGGTAACCTTCCCAAGGGCATCCTTACATCCTTGCTTCCTCGGTCCGGCGCCCACGGGGCTTGCATTTTTATCGCGCATCCTTATTGTCAGTTTTGATTGTGGGACGTCGATGGCCAGCGCAACAGCTGCACGTGTGGTGGACGCCTCTCTGTCACAGCGGGGGCTGTGGTTGGACATCCCAAGCTTTCTGACACAGGAGGATGAGGAGGGAGAGGAGGAGAAGGTATGACACTACTCTCTGCTTTCCGTATAGCCAGAAAGATGCAGGGCTGCTCTTTTTCGATTACCTCCTTCTCTGCATGGGACGCTCGTCTTGCAAGGGTGGGCCTCCTTCGGCGGAATGCCTGGAGGGACTTATGCGGACGAGCTTGGGACGGGAGGGTGTATTGCAGCATCGTTGATGCATCCTGGGTTGCTCTGGTCCTCCTTCGGCCTCCTCCTCCGCCTCCTTCCTCCTTCATCCTCTCTCCCCTCGTCCTTCCTCCCCCTCCTCCTCCCTCCTCCCTCCTCCCTCCCCCCACCTTCCTCCTCCCTCCCTCCCTCCCGCTCTCCCTCCCTCCCTTTCCACTCACCCACCCGTGCCTCCCCGGCCACAGCGTTGGATTGTCTGGGGACGACGGCATCGATCAGACGGGCGGAAGTAAGGGCAGATGCCTCAAGTCACCTCTCGCTCTCGTCGAGCGTTGGCTTGACTGGGCGCCGGCGGCAAGCCGTCAGCCTGGTTACCGCCAGGCACTTCGTAGAGCTCCAAGACGCTTGCCATGGTCGTCGTCGCTTAATACATCGGCGGCGAGCGAGGGGGGGAAGGGAGAAGGAGAAGGCCTTCTCAGAAGGCTCGGAAGCCACCCAGCCTTCTGAGAAGTTTCTGCGAGGGCTTCTGAGAAGCCCCGCCGTCTTCTGAGAAGGCCTTCTCCTTTTCGTTTCCCCCCCTTCGCTTGCCGCCGATTGAAAAGCCCATTGGCGGCATACTTATTTTTTTCGGGTGCAGATCGAGCAGCAGACTGAGCTCAGGTCCATTAAGACCGCAGATCGAACCCCTTTCTCGCCACCTCCCGCTCTCGGCGACCGTCGGCCTGACGCCTTCTTGCACTATCGTGCAGTGGGGACCAATGCCAAGGAACACCCTGCTTGCCTCCAGGGTGCCCAGGGTTTCTTTGGCTTCGATGGTTTTGCTACTATGGGAAGCGTGACGCTTCCACACCAAACATCAGTGGACGCCCTGGGGTCTCAGGGTTGGGTTTCTTGTGGAAGGCTTCTTGTGGCCGAGCTCCTGCTGTCGCCCTCCCCCCTCCCTCCGGCGTGCCTCCTTTGTTGCCGACCTCGAGGGGCGCACCGCCTGCGGCGTCAGCCCGCGGCCGCGGCCGCGGATTTTTTTGAGCCCAGGCTGCCAAGACAAGAGCCTAGCGCAACAGCTCGGGATCCTATATGTCTTCCCTCCCTCCCTCCCTCTTTTCCTCCTCCCAACGCCTCCCCAGACCTTCAGTCATCGAGCATGAAAGGACCCCTTACTTCAATAACACGATGCAGACGCAGCCTCATTGAGGACCCCGTCTTTGCATGAGGGATCATAGATCTGGGCAGTTTGGTTCGATACATCTGCAGAAAAAGACCCCCTATCCCTCATGTCCCTGGCCCTCCTAAATTATGCCGCCTCCCCAAAGGTTAAGGGATCTCTTATGCCTGATCATTCAGTTGTGGCACTGCAGGACTTGCGGCAATTCCGGTCAGGCCCGGCTCAGGGGGCTATCCAGGGCGTGCGCGCTCCCACTCACGAAGGCCAGGCGCGAGTGTCTTGATAGGACTATAATCGCGGCCTGTTTCCGAAGTGCTGAGCTTCAAGCCTGGCTTTATCACAACGTGATGGCGGAATCCCTGGAATCCCGGTTCCTCCCCACTCCTCCACCGACGTCATGATTTTTCCAGGACGTGGACACCCAAAGGCCTCGACCCATGCCTTCGGGACCGTTTTTTCCGTCCCGAGCCGATGCTTGACGGTGCAGGAACCTGGCGAGGGCCCCCGGAGGCCGAGCATCGCGAAGACCTCCCGCCGTGATTTGTTCATGACCCGAGGGGGTCTGGTCACCAGTATGCCTTCCCTGATGGACCTGTTTTCCACCACCATCACCATAAGTTGGAGGGGGGAGGAGGAGGAGGAGGAGGAGGAGGAGGAGGAGGAGGAGGAAGAGGAGGAGGAGGAGGAGGACGAAGAGGAGGAGGAGGAGTAGGAGGAGGAGGAGGAGGAGGAGGAAGAGGAGAAGGAGGAGGAGGAGGAGGACCCCGTTCCCCTATAACTTATGGTGGTGGTGGTGGTGGAAAACAAGCCCATCACTCCTCCCTCGGACGATGGCGACGCCCGAGGCCGTGGTGCTGGGCTGCGGCGAGGCGGCCGAGCTCCAGGCCGCCAGCGGTGGGAGTCCAGGGGGGGGGCCCGCGTCGGGCAGCGCAGGCGCCGTCGCCAGAGCGGAGGGGGCGGCTGACACGTATCTGCGCCGGCCAAGGCAGGGAGAAGGAGGAGGAAAAGGAGGAGGACCATCTGCATGCACGAAATGGGTACTGAGAGAATGGGTACAATGCCAAACAGCAGTTCCTGTCCATTTTGAACAGGGCTCGCTGTCCGCGCCGCCGCGGCCTGCGTCCATTTGAGACAGGAGGCCGCCTGCCCAACAGCGGCCGCTGATGGTTTGGGACAGCATTTGTTGTTGGGCATTGTGCCCATTTTTTCCGTGCCCATTTCGGGCGTCCAGAGAGGAGGAGGATAAGGAGGAGGGGGAGGGGGAGGAGGATGAGCAAGAGAAGAAGGAGGAGGAGGAGGAGGAGGAGGAGGAGGAGGAGGAGGAGGAGAAGGAGGAGGAGTGGGAGGAGGAGGATAGGCGAGGAGGAGGAGGAGGAGGAGAGGAGGGAGGAGGAGGAGGAGAAGGAGGAGGAGGAGGAGGAGGAGCAGGAGGCTGAGCTCCGACAGCACCAGCCGGAGCTACGAGGGCCACACCTTGCGTTTCGCGGCCCACGAGCATAATTGCCTCAGCTGCGAGGGCAACCAGCTGAGCCACGACGTCTACGAGGGCCACCAGCTGCGCGCCGACAGGGTTACGCAGCAGACGCAGCCTCCCTGCCACATGGCTGGAGCAGTTACCTCGGCCAGCAGGGACGACGCTACTACCACCACGCGGCCCTGGAAATGGCGACGTGGAAACTGCCGCGCAAGTACGAGGACCACCAGCAAGCCGGGTCCGTCGATATACCCCTCCGTATGTGCCTCAAGAAACCGACTCAGCCATCGGAGCTACCAGCATGACTACGAGGACCTCGAGCTGAACGACGGTGAGACCGGCCCACTTACCTGAAGCCGCTGATGACGGTATTTCAGCATACGTTACCGAAGGCTTGGGACGTACGACTCCTACAGCGCTACGGACAAGGTACGCCGTGTACAATGTTGCGCGTAAGGTGCGCCGTCTTCGGTGCGAGCAACACGTCTGTTGAGCGGCCTGGCCGCTCCCTCCCCTCGTTCGATGGGCCTCAGGAAGTTCCTGACCCACCCTGGGCCTCGACCGCGCGCGTCGGGGGCGGGGCGGCGTCAACAGGAAATCTCAAAGGCTGCTGCGAGAGAGATAAAGGTATATATGTAGAGAGAGAGAGAGTGAGAGAAAAAAAGAGAGAGAGAAAGAGAGAGAGAGAGAGACATGAGGAGGAGGAGGAGGAGAAGGAGGAGAAGGAGGAGGAGGAGGAGGAGGAGGGGAGGAGGAGGAGGGGAGGAGGAGGAGGGGAGGAGGAGGAGG